TGATCTAGCAGGGAATAATTTAACTGGCAGAATTCCAGCAAACTTGGGAAACCTAAAAGCCATGCAAGTAGAGCAGAAGATACTGAAATATCTATTGTATGGGGCATATAGAGGCCTTTACTACGAAGAAAAGTTGGTGATCAATCTGAAGAATCAATTTCAAAAGTATACCAAAACTCTTTCCCTTCTGACAGCCATAGACCTCTCAGACAACAACTTCTATGGAAATTTCCCGGTGGAAATATCAAAGTTATCTGGCCTGATGGTTTTAAACCTGTCAAGAAACCAAATCACAGGTGAAATTCCAGGAAGCATTTCAGATTTGAAGCAACTGTCATCCCTTGATCTCTCAAGCAACAAACTCTCTGGTGAAATTCCATCAAGAATGGCTTCGCTATCATTCTTGAGCTATCTTAATCTATCAAACAACTACTTATCAGGTACGGTACCTTATAACGGACAAATGTCAACTTTCACTGCATCTTCTTTTGAGGGAAATTTGGGACTTTGTGGAGCTCCTCTGAGGTTAGAGTGCCAAAATGGGGGTTCAGGAAACGGATCAAAAACTGAAAATGATAGCAATGAAGGATTGATTGATGAATGGTTCTATTTGAGCCTTGGATTGGGATTTCTTGTTGGCATTCTGGTACCTTACCTCATCTTTGCATTCAGAAGACCTTGGGCTGATGTATACTCTGATTTTGTGGACAAATTAGTTTACAAGTTACCAGGGATAAGCAGAAGGAGAAATAAAACATAGCAGACCAAAGTATACTTTCATAGATAGACCTTCATTTCTAGCTTTGTATCTTGTGTTTGATGAGAAGCTTTAGAAATTAAATGTTCTTGTAAGACATTGGATTTCTTTTCATAAGCCAATCCACTCTTATGTGCAATGTTAAAATGGTTGCTTACTTTGTCTATCAAGCCATTCACCTACAAGAAGTCAACTGAGAGCAAAGATAATTATTTCATTGAAATGGGCAAATTAGTTCAAGTCCTACCTAATTAAACATTTGGATTCCGTTTTCCATATAAGAACAGGTTTATTGCCACACTAATTCCAGTTAAGCATTGATCATCTTCCATCACAGCAACCAATTTTTCCTTCTAAGAGTTTCCATACTTTGGCTGCTTTCCTTGACTCCTCAATCACTATCCATGTCACTCTTTCTGAAGAGAGAAATCTTCAACATTGGCTGAGACTGAGCATTGTTTTATCCAATGGAAAAGCATTGAAAAACAAAAGTTCATTCTTTTACATTTTTTCCATGGGGTTTTAGTCTGTTGCAATTTGGTGCTCTATTATTGGCACCTTCTCCCATAAATGAATAAATTGCATACAATCCACCTAAAGGAACAAAAAATAGAAAAAAAATTAAATAAAGATAATGCAGAAAAAAGTGGACTAATAAAAAAGTTTGGGATCTTAACAATGAAGAAACAGGACTAGCTGACCAATGACACCACAAATGTAAATCAGCAGGCCCTTCTTCAAGCTCCAGCCCACCGAAATAACCACCACTCACATTTCCAAACTCAAAAGGCAGCGGATTTTCATTTGTATATAAAACAAATCAAACAATTATGTATACAAGAATAACAAGATAACAATTTTATTCGTGTAGTTGATGACTGATAACCTATTGTGATACAAAAAACAATGATCAATTGATTAACTATTTATACATAATCTTATATAATGTATTTAATTACAACGAATTTTGTAAATATGCTATACTTCATGATGAATCATAGCAAAATATTATAAGAAAAGATATTGCAAAAAAAATTTAAAACAATGAGATTGAAAAAAAAAAAGAAGAAGAAGAAGAAGAAGAAATCATCCCAAGTGTGCGACGGGGAACAAAAACAGATAGTGGGTAGAAAATAAAGGAGAATAAAAAGGAAGAAGAGGAAAAATTAAGAAAAAGAAAGTGAGCAAAAGAAATCAAACTAATAAAAGAAACGATAAGGGAAAACTAAAGAGATAAAAGCATAAGAATAGGGGCATATCTATCCATTCACACTTAAAATTCAAATAAAGAGGGGTTTGATGCTGATAAACAAAATTTGAAAGGACAATGTGAAATAGGTATATAACGTGGGGGGAAAATGTAATTCAAACTAATTAAAATGTGGACCTAAATTAGTAGGGGTACGATAGGGCATTTGTGGTATCAAAATATTTTCCCTCCCCTACAATTAGTTTCTCAATCTTAATTTTCCAGAATCTTAATTTGACAAAAAAAAATCTTAATTTTCCAGAATATGGTGCAAATTTTTTTTAAAAAAGTTGGAATTAGAGGAGATAGGCGAGTAATAGTTTTTAGGGATGTTATTACTTTATCTCTCTAAACTATATCATTACTATCAATTTACCCCCTAATATTATCTTTTAGTCATTTCACCCCATAGGTAATTCAACTCAGTATGTTAATACATTTTTGACATAAATACCCTTTTATTTTACAGCATTACTACATTGTTATTATCACTTTATCTCTTTAAATTATAGTGATATAATTGCTTTACTCTCTAAATATTTTACCCTATTGTTAATCTAAAAGGTATGTTAAAAAATGTTTAAATGTATTTACCTTTTTTAATATAATTAAAAATAAAATTTTGGAATAATTATTCTTCCTTTTTTTCACTCTAAGATTCCAAAAACATAAAAATAAAAGGGTTTTCACAAATTTTTTTCACACTTATTAATACTTGGAAAATAAAAGGAGATACGATAGAAGAAGACAGAAAATTAGATTTTGCTAAGAAAGAAAATAAGGAAGAATCTAATATTATCGTGTTAATTTAATGTTCTCGGGATTGGAATTGGGTAATAAACAGAAAAGTAATTTAATTTAAAATGATAAAAATATTGAATTCTTTCTTGTTTGTATTAAAAAAAAGAATTGAGCTATCTCTCTCCCTCCCCTATTTTTCTTTTTTTTTTTCAATATTAATAAGATTGGCAAAAAGAAAGAGACTAATGTTTTGACTTTTTTTTCTTGATACTGAAAAAGAGAAGAGCTACTCTAAACTTTTTATTGTTTTTATTATACAAAAAAGAGGGTACTATTTTCTAAAATTTTTTAACTTGTTAAGTTGGTTTAATGGTGGGATAAATTGCCTAAAAAATAAGTCTAGAAGGTAAATTGATAATAAGGTTATAGTTTATGGGGGTAAAATGATAATAATTTTAAAGGTTAAACATGTCTTATCACTTGAATTAATAAACTCCATTATGTTTGACCGTTAGTGTTGGGGTAAAATGACTAAAAAATAATATTAAGAAAAAAATTGATAGTAGCATCAAATGTTAAGGGGGTAAAATGATAATACATGAGTTTTTAAAGTTCAAGTAGAGTCAAGATACCGGTAAAAACCTCGAGAAAGTTTCTAAAATTGAGGATAGGGCCTCAACTTCCATTTTCCACAAGTTTGTCCTTCAGTGTAATTGAATTAGAAAATAGTATAATAAAAGTTTAAATATGGTGTAATTGAGTTGGAAAATGGTGTCACAAAATTTGAAATTACTAATTTATCCCAACTCAGAGTAAAATAGAACTTGAAAAGTCCAGAATCCTTTAAAAGTATTCCATTCAAGTGCGACTCTATAAGAATTAACAAGATAAAAGACATGATACCCTTTCATCATCTTAAAAATGCTCATCTAATTCCAACAAAAATGGCGTGCCCAACCGCACATAGCTTTCCCACACAATGTCTCACCATGAGTCATAGGGAATGCATAAAATTACCAGTAACTTTTTAACTTCCTTCGTCATTGGGCGTTTAGTGTGGATTCTTGTGGCATGAAATCGTCGGTTGCTCAATTTATCGGTGGCTAGTCGCATCATGTCTGGATAGAATATTATTTGTAATAATTATTGCAGTATTTTTGTAATATGATATATGTTAAATAAAAGAGTGGCTGAAAATATAAAAAAAATAAATTAAAAAATATATTTATGATACAAGCAAAATATATTATTTGCAAAAATTTAGCTATCCAAACCTGCTACGTCGCTATAGGGTCCAACATCTCATATGGTTGATTTGCGCAGTTTCTACTGTTACCGTGTCTCTCCCTCTGTACCTTCTTGTTTGTCTTATTTCTTTCCTTCCAAAAGTCTTAGCCCAGATTCTTGCTCCCTTCAATTCTTTAATAACTGCAACTGCCAATCGCACTCTTCCTCTTAGTCGCCTCTCTAATGACCACAACCACCAATCTTGACACTTTGCCTAGATGGTTGAAAAGGAGGAAGGAGGAGAATATATAGCCATGGGGGATTTCTGGGACTTGTTCATAACACTGGTTATTGAGAAAATTTTATGATATAATTTGATAAAAATCACAAGTAGATGTTGTTTTGTTAATAGATTTTCTGTTTGAATATTTTGAGCAATTTATTTCTTAAAGATCTGATACAATTAAATAAAGCATAACTAATACAATTCAAACCTAAAATACCATTGTCAAAACTCGAAGAATGAGATACTATGTTTTGTTGTTGTTAACGATGAATCATTGTAGTTTTAAAGGCGTTTTTCTAAGTTAGAATCTTTTTTTTTTTTTTTTTTTTGGTGCTCTCTATATTTGCAGAGTTTGATTTGCACTCCCATTGGGCTTGAGATTATGGAAGATTTGTCAGGAAGAAGAATGGAGGTTTTATATTTTGGCAAGAAAAGTTGAGCTTTGATTAATTCCTAACCCATGACACCACCGAAACGGCTTAGCACTATTGATTGTGAGATTGGCTTGCGAGCGTAGGTTAGGCGGGCGACGATTTGAACTCGAACGATGACTTCTTGGGATTATTAAGTCGACAGGCCATTGATATTAATCCGCGACAACTTCCCAACCATGAGCTTCAAACAATCAGGAAATTTTCTAGCCCCTTCCATTTCCATACCATCCTAATAGCAGTCAGGGAAGGGAAACTGCCACTCAACAAACACATATTGTCAAGCCTGAAAAGAAATCATACATTTCAATGTATGAAAGATACTTTTGGATTTGTATCCTAATTTCGGCAAAATATTCTGAAAATCAATAACCAAAAAGAGGGGAAATGAGTAGCCGACTGGGATGGCTAAATATTATGTGACTCATAATCTACATATCCAAAAGCAGAAAAAACACGTTGGCGATACAAATGACTATTTCAGTTCAAAGTATAAAGCTTGAGCTGAAAATCATTAATCTACTGCTACGTAAACTAATTCCCACCAAATTTCACATAACATAATACATGCCAGTTGTAAGAACACTAAGGGAACTTCTCAGTCCAGCATTCCTTGAATTGTCAAATAACAAACAGAATCTCTGCAAAAAATACCCTCAGCATTTATTTCCCAGGCATTTTGAGCTGAATCTTCTAAGCCAACATCTCAAGATTTGAGCAAAATGAGCAGAAAGACATCGAGCTGCACAAAATAAACAACACATGTTACAAAGTCAAGAAACACATTCCAGAACCAGAAAATTAAACAAAAGAACCGACATTGCATTTCAGTAAACACACTACCTGTCGACAAGACAAGATCAGAGGGTCACTCTCTTCCGCTATCTTCTTCAGGAGCCGCCTCTTTCACATCAATAGTAAAACTATACTCCTGGTCACATCCCAAATAGGAGTCACTCATGAAATATAGCGTGTAGGTCTTTTTTCCAGCTTCAGCGGAAGCATCAAAATCTAGTCTGACTTTGGACTTCCTCTGAAGGGTAACCCTTTTAATGGCAAGCAATTGGTTGGTTTTAGTGTCACCAACCACAAGCCACCATCCTTCTTCCTTAACTTTGGGATATCTAGGTGCATCAACAGGTCCAACTTCAATTCTTCCCTCGAGATCTCTTTCAAGAGTTACATGCACACTAATGTTTTCTCCAGCCCTCACATTGTCACTCTCAGGAACATCATATGCTAAATCAATGTTTGGGAAACGGTTACAGAATCGTGCAATATCCATCAACTGCAAGTCAGACATTTGCAAAAGCTCGCGCCTTTCATCGTCCTCCATCTCCACCAAATCAAAAACTGTCTCTATACTCTTTCCAGGGTTCTCTTGGCACTTTTTTGCCAATTCCTTGGTAAAATGTGGGAGTTGGAGGAGCATGGAATCGCGCTCCCACATGCCCTGAGTTACCATCTGACTCACTTCCATCGCAAGAAGGGCAAGACTTAACCAACCACTGCTGGAAATTACATCAACCATGGCTTGGAGCAATCTTGAAGCAAAAATAAGCACCTCTCGCTGGTCAGATGCCAAATTCCCACCTAAAAGTTGCCGAGCGAAATGAGCTTGCAGCAAAGCATTAGCCTTCACATGAGGGTCAGTGCATTTTGGGTTATCAAAGGAGAAACGCTGGTGATTAATCAACCTCCTAATCAACTCTTCTTCACCCGGTCTAATGGGAAGTTGTTCATACTCTGAGGCTGAAGCCAAGATATCCAGTAAACCCTTCAATTTGGTTTTAGAGTTCAAAGAAGAACTAAAACGTTCAATTGTTGTATAACTGATATAATAGTAGGATGCTATCATGCCAAGATTTAACGGTGAAAGTAAGAAATCTTCTTCAACAAGAATGCATTTACTTGCTTCAAGATCACTGATTGTGTTCTCAACAAGCTCTGACAGGTGATCAGATAGATGCCTGTGACTAACACCCTGCAAATTATAGTAGTTTGGATTCTGGGTGAGCCTCCTATACATGAATGTCCATGTTAGATAATCCACAGCATCCTGCTTGTTTTGTATGACCTCAGCAACCACCTCAGCATTTAAATTGTCATGCAGATAATGATGCAAATGGCTTTCAACTGGGAATGCTTCATATAGGAACTTCTTGTAGTACTCCTTCCTTGGCGCATGACAGAAGATGACACATTTCCCTGAGTTATCAACAAGGGGTCGACTGGCATGCCCCATCATCTGCAGCAAATCAGTAACAGGGTAGTCACTATGAGCACTTTCTCTGCCATCATAATGTTGTGTTCCCATAATCACCACCAGATGTGCAGACAAGGCCACTCCCCAGCACATTGAACTACTCATAACACACACTTGAACCCATCCAGTTTCAAAGAGAGTCTTGACTATATCTTGATCAGTACCAGTTAAGCCCTCATGCAAATAACCCACACCATAACGAAGAGTCTCTTTCAACATTGGTTCTTTTATTCTATCAATAAAAGGTTCCAAATCTCCTGCAGACTGTAAAAGGAACATTATTTTGTCTGCGTCCACACTTGCATAGGTCATCAGATCCACAGCAGTCAAGCGGGCATGCTTCCTGGTAGGAACAAACACAATTGCTGGTTTCCCATTTTTGGCATGTTGGACGATAGCAGTATATGTGGGTTTTGTCATGGCCTGCATCCTGGCTTCAAAATTAGCAATGTCAATGCCCTGAATATGAATTTCCAAGGGTACAGGCCTCACACCTGGAGGAAAGTTGAAAAGACCATGAGAGGTAGCTCCAATCCATTCTCCCAAATCTTTGGCATTAGCAAGAGAAGTTGATAAAGCTACAATCCTTATCTTGTTCTCCAGCTGACTTGCAACATATCTCATTCTAGAAACTATAACCTCCAGAATGGGACCACCCTGGCCCCCAATCAAGTGGAGTTCATCAACAATGAAAAGACTAACTTGCTGAACATGCTTTCGCTGTTTCCAACGGCGAGATATAGCATCCCATTTCTCTGGAGTACTAATAATTATCTGACCTCTTTCAAGCAGTTTGATATCTGTTGCTGTCTCACCAGTCAACTCAACCACTTTCATCCCTAGCCCATCTCCAAACTTCCTTTTCCAGTCATTATACCGCTCCTTAGCAAGAGCCTCAATAGGAGCAATGTATACAGCACGCATGACACTTTCAGGACCTTTCTGGTGATTCCTCAATATCGCAAATTCTGCACAAATTGTCTTTCCACTACCAGTGGGTGCAGCAACTAAGACATTGTCATCTGAGTTGTACAGGATAGTGAAAACCTGAGTTTGGACAGGATTAAAATGCTTAAACTCATGATATAGAGCCTCATAAGATGGATTTCTTAAAGCTGTCACAGGCAAGGGTTGTAAGTCTAATAACTCCGTAGGAGGAGGGTACTTCTCTGGCAGAATCAGATGCCTGAAAGAAACAGGTAAGATAGTCTGCGACCCAAGCCATCTATCTGATACGACACGAATGAAGTACTGGGGAGGCAGTGGTTCATATATTGAGACTGTAAAATCCAGTGTGTGATCCTCATCAATATATTGCTTCTTCAGCAAGAAATACTCATTATGTAGAATATATTCCCCGTCATTATCCTCGACAATTACCCAAAACGGTTCCACAAATCCATGTACTTTGTCATCCCACTGGAAATCTGGTGTAATAGTGAGTTCAACCCTCAGAACAGAACGAGTGATCGGTTGGACATGAGCAGCCAAGTTAAGCTTAGGGAATTGATGAATCAATTTGTGCAGAGTTCTCCCCATCTTAGGGAAACGGATGAGTTCTCCTATCTCCTGCGAGGAGAGGTCATAGTACCTTTCCCAAGCCAGATCTTTCTTCTCCAACTTCATCAAAATTTCATTTGGAATCCCATGAAATTGACGGAGTGGTGTCTGGACACTCCATATTCGCTTGTTAATCATTTTGCACCACTTCAATGCCTTTTCAGTTAATTGGGCCCATCCTCTCTTCAAAACAATCTCAAATAATGCTCGCATAAGACGCCCTGCACTCTGCAACAAGAATATAGCAATTTTAAACAAACAGAAGACCCATTCACACAGCCATAACAAATATAAATTTCAGAAGACAATGAGCAAACTCAGATAGAGCAACAATAACAAACCTGGGTAATGAACACCATGTCAGATGTCAAAGAGAGACCTTCAAGCTTCAGTTGAGAAATATATGCCTGTAGAAGAACATTGATCTTGGCACTAGGCTCTTCCAGACTTTCTTTGATAGGGATAGGGACACGTTCCAGAAGCTTTGCCAATTCCATCTTTTCATCTTGTCTCACTGTCACATACTTGAATTCTTCACTAAGGGAGAAAAGACGACATAGCTCAATGTCCCCCATTGTTGGCTTCAAGTGCTCATTATATGTAGAAATCGTTCCATGAGTTATATAGTAATAGCTGGCAATGCGTCCCAAGTCAGTGACCTGGAAATATCCACTTTTCCTGTCATATTTCACCAGGTTATTCTTGTCCAATAATGTTGCTGCTGAATGAACCTGCGGCATGAGAACAAAGTCATGGAATCAGATATGCAAGTGACACTCACGAACAGATAATGTTACAAGCATTCCAGATGTAGTCATGGTTTGAATATAGGATACCATCAACTGGCAGCTAACAACATGATACATTCCAAGGGCAGAGAAATACTATTTCAAAAACAGTGATCAAACGCATGAAAAGATAAATGAAAATTCTAACTTATCAAGTAGGAAAACAACATAATGACAATTATTGCACCATAGAAGTACAAGGCATCATCCACAAGAAAAGATGCAACGAGAAAGACACATTAGAATCAACCCAATAATGGCATAGAGTTTCTTGCGCCTAATCTAAGCGTTTCAAGGGTCAAATCAAAGAAAAATCAGTCAATAGAATTTTCATGACCTATATACTACCATTAAATTAGTAATCTGATGGTGACAGAGCCACCATCTCCCCCCCCCCTTCAAAAACAAACAAACCAAAAAAAAAGGAGGTCCGAGAAAGTCTGTTTGATCCACCGCCCATTGAATGCCATCCCTTCCCATCCCAAAATTCCAGGTCTTGTGGAAAAAATAAAGAAAAGCTACTTCATTAAAAGTGCACATATGTCTTAATCAAGCCAGCGAGTCATAAAACAAAATAGAAACCTCGCAAAGCAAATAGAATATAACTCAAGTAAAAAATATGGAAAAGATATAATGTTGAGCCATTCACATACCAACATTGTATTTGCAACCTCCCTTCGTAGAAGGGAGCTTAAACTTTAAACGTGTCTATCTTACAAAATCAAAAAAAGAAAGTAGATCAAAGTTAACTACCGCAGCAGCTTATCATTCCAGGTCTATTAACCAATCCTGATCTTTGATCCAACCAACAAGAATTCTATGCTTTCCTTCCAGTTTTCAAGTTTTCAAGCCCCTGACTCATCTATAGCTTTGGCATAAATGTACAATAAAAGATGGGGATTGTTTTATTTTAACTCTCATAATGGAAAAATAGGCCACAAGATCAAGGCAAAAGCAACAGCAAAACTCAGGGTTTTTTTTTTTTTTGGCTTTTCGGGGGGTGTGTGTGTGTTGTTAACAAAAAGCAGAGTTCATGAGAGTAAACTGGGTGTGAGAGGATAAATCTGATCTCAGACTGTATCTCTACTTACCACCTGGGTCCATAATGAACTTAACCTATCCCTAGCCATAACGTGTGATCTCGTGAATTTAGGATTTGCAAATCTATAAGAGACCAAAAAAGACAGAGAGCAAGAAGAGAGACAGAGGCAACAAGAAGGACGAGGAATGGGGCTAACAGTGCAGCAAAAAAAGTGAAGAACCTGAAAGTTTTTTCCCCCTTTGAAATACATCATAAATTAAACCTTAATATTGGCTATATTCTGACTTGATACTTGGTCTATTCTACCATATTAAAGGATCCAAAGTACTATTGCTGGAGCCAAAATCACTAGTAAGCGAAAAGAAACACAAGTCCCCTACACAATCACATGGCATGTATATGTTGCAACTAACAAATGATGATATCAGAATTGGCACACATTGGTGATTTGCATGAGAAGTCAACACTTCAATTTCCAAAAAAGTGCAGAATCAGCTTTAGACAACATTCAGCTCCACACAAACAGGCTCTAACAGCTATTTAAGGTAATTCAACCAAATTTTTGGGGGGCTGTGGAAAGAGAAGAGGGAAGAGATACTATGATGTGCACCAAATCAGATGAATGAATGGACAAGGTATTTTGCAGAATTCTTACCAGATCAGCTCTCCTTTCCTGCAACATATTATCTGAAGCAAGGGCATCAGCAGCTAAACTATAAACGGTAGGATTCCGAACCATGCGAACATAAAGATAAGTATAACCGAGCCAAAGGCAAGCTTCTTTAGCATTCTGAACGCTTCCAAGAACAATTTCCGCATTCAACTGATCAGCCAGCTTCGATACAAACTGACTTTCAATGGGAAGCTGCTGATTCATCAGAGAGAGATAATACTGTAGCTCGCTGTGTCCAGTAATAATAATTCCTTCACCATAAGTGTCAAATTGAGGCCTTCCAGCACGACCAAGCATCTGCATAACATCAAGGGGGCTTAGTTCAGTCCATGCTCCCTTTTCAGGATTGTATATCTGGGTACCTTTGATAATCACAGTGTGTGCTGGTAAATTGACACCCCAAGCTAAAGTAGCCGTGGAAACCAACACTTGTGCATGCCCATCTGAGAAAAGATCCTCAACAATTTGACGATCAGCTCTAACCATCCCAGCATGATGAATTGCAAAACCATAGGGTAGCAAGTCCTTGAGATCATTGCTCTTTACAAGCTCAGTGTGACTCTGAAGAATTTCACGGCTTGCACTGTCCTCTTTTAAGAACTTGCCAAGAGTATCATTGGCAAGTGCAGCATCACGTATTGCACGAGCTGTCTTGGCAGTTTCTTTCCTGGAGTGCACGAAAATAAGCACCTGATGCTTTCCTGCCACACTGATTACTTTCTCATAGCACACGTCATTCATCAACTGAAATCTCTGCAAAGGCTTCTTTACCGAGATTCCTACATACTGTTGAGCAAGAGGAACAGGTCTATAGCTATTGTCAAAGTGAAAGAGACCTTTCTTCACATCAACACGCAAGAACAAAGCTACATCTTCATAGTTTGGAAGTGTAGCAGACAAGCCCACCAACCGTATGTGCTCTTTAGTGGTCTCAATTTGCCTTACAGTTCTTGCTACAATGCTCTCCAGCACGGGACCCCGGTTATCATGCAACAGATGTATCTCATCAATGATGAGCAGCTTTACCATCTGAGTGTAGGTACGATCACCAGATTTCCTGGTTATTATATCCCACTTCTCTGGGGTTGTAACAATGATCTGAGTCTCTTCAATCTGTTGACGGGTCAGTGTCTGGTCTCCGCTCAGCTCTTTCACCTTGACATCATAATCCTGGAGACGATTAGAGAGGTTACCAACTACTTCAGCAACCAGTGCCTTCATTGGAGCCACATAAACAATTTTGTAATTGTCATGGTTAAAAGACCCATCTTCATTTCTGTTCAAAGCAATCTGCTGAAGGATGGTGAGCATAGCAACATTGGTTTTCCCTGCACCTGTGGGAGCACATAATAGAATATTATCTGCACCAAAAAGTGCTGTCTCATAAACTTTACTTTGAACCCTGTTTAATTGGGTCATTCCTTTGAAAGCCGGCTGCGCCCAGTCAGGTATGGAAGAGATCTTTACTAGTTCTTCACCAGGTCCTAATGGTTTCGGCTTTAATGCTGGTACATGAACTTCTTCATATCCCTTCTTCTGATTCCTAAAAGAACCTTCTGGAAGCTCACACCTTTTGTTGGCCATCAAGAGACCTCCCTGGTTAAATGCAAGGCTGTCAAGATCAATTAATTGACGTTGCCCTGACAGCCAACCACCATCAGCATCTCTATCGCCTTGCCCCCTTCTTTCTCGTTGCCCATCTCCTCCAGTTTCATCCTTCAAACGGCGAGCCTCTTCTCTAATGCTCTTCTCCAAGTTCTTCTGCCTCTCTTTTGCAGTTGCCCTGGTGGCATACAACTGTTCCAGAATTGCAGCATGATCTGGCCCCTGCGCCATCATCTCCTCTTCAATTTTCTTCCTATCCTCTTGGTCTTCAGCCCTTGCCAAGCGGGTGCACCAAACTATCTTCAGCCGGTTCCGCAACATATACTTGACAAGACTGAACTTATCAAACTGCAGATGCAACAAGAGCTTGGTTTCAACTTCACGATCATCACCTTCAGCAAGAATTTTGAGGACCTCCTCAGCAAGCTTCTGGCTCTGTTGCGGATCAATTTGTTGGTCATAAGCCTGTGAAATCTTCCTCTGAAGCCAGTAGGCATCAATGTCCTGAACATTCAAGGTCATCCCCTCATTAGCATCCTGCATCTCATCATCATCAATCCCACCCATCTGCATGGCACCGGCATTCGCGTCGAGTCCATCATCTTCATCCTCTTCATCCTCCTGTACTAGATCATAGTCACTATCATCATCCTCTTCTTCATTCTCCTCAAATTCAACAGCAACACCAACATCATCATCAAGACCCTCATCACCATTGGCAGCAGCAGCTCCAGCAGCATCACCAGCATCTTGATAGTCAGTAATTAGCCGCCCGATAGATACCAGATTATCAAATACTTGGCTGGGGATAGGATTCAAAAGCTTCTCAATCTCCTTTTTCTTGTCAGGATTCTTGAGATTTTCATTCTTAAGAACAGCTAAAATCTCATCAGCAGCACCACTGACAATGTTAAGAGGCTGGCCACCTAACTGCTGCTGAATAGCACTGAGCAAGGCCTCATAGGCAGCCCGGGTTTCTTTAGTTTTAGGTTGATAAACACCCTCATCAGTGGTAGTAAGAACACTTTCCTCCTGTAGAAGGCGCCTCTTCTTGCTCTGCCTGCCAGGATTGGGTTCGGAAGCTAGTGGTTCTCGCTCCTTCTTCTTCTTGGACTTTTGAAGTTGGTCTTCCAATTCACGAGGCTTACCCCGCGAGGCACGGTCACCAAAGGTTTTGGGATCTATCTTGCCTTGAAGGGACTCGGGCTCACCAGTGGGCTCATGGGTGTCACGTGGGCGCGAGTCAGTGGTCAGGACAAGACTGGAGTTGGCTCGATACTCATACTGTTTGAAACGGGCATGAGCCTCAGCTCCACCACCGATATGCGACATCTTGATTGAACCAAAGACCCAAAGAAAAAAAAGAGTAGGGAAAAATTCAGTCAGCTACCAAAAGACCAGTACAGATAGGAACCTAATAATCAACAAACTCCAGTAATAAAACAAGGCAGAAGAGTGAATGGATTAACCAATAGATTAAACACAAAATTTTGAAAAAGACAATAGTCTTCAGAAGGAAAGGCGATACGGAAGCTAAAACCCTAAGTAGGTAGTAAAACCCTAATACAGGAAGTAGCAACTGTAACAAAAGACAAAATCAGAAAAGGCAAGAGACGATTTCCTAGATACTTTTATCAGCTACTCCAATAAGCTTAAACTAACAGGCCGATTTGAGTCGGTTTCATATATTCCAATAATTAATTCACAAACTTTCTCAATAAGCTAACTGCCCTAGATTTCTACGGAGAATATATACAATCGAACTTCTATAGAAAAACAACACAAGCACCAAAAAGAAAAAGGAACGAAAAAAGGCAGGCACGTGCAATAGAGACTAAAAAATAATAGCAATAATAGTAAAAGTAGCCATTGTTGGAACTTACAGCTCACTATTCTGTTCAGAAGCTGCCGCCTACGGCGGAGTTATGGCTTCTCCTCCTCTGTTCCAGAGAAATATGGACAGCTACTAATCGTGTCTGTAATTTACTAGTAGTAATTATTAGGGAAGGAGGATTTAGGGCTAGGGCTACCTATTTTATGTGCACATCTAAATTTATGCAGATATACAGAGAGCCGACATGGAGGGAATCAACCGCGGCCAAAAAACAGACCGACTCAGACGTAGGAGAGGCAAAATCCTCTTTTGTTTTTTTTTTCCGGAAACGATAAAAATATAAATGATAAGTTGTAAATTGTAATGCGAACTGCGAAGTATGGCTGGAGCGGGTCTGGGTCCGGATCCAGGTCCAATCTATCCAACTCGGATCAGAATTGTCCAACAATTTAGACATGGACCCGGGTACGATTAATATAATACAATATAATATAAATATATAAATAAGTAAAATAGAATATATGTCCATCAACCAACCCTCTTTAGTGGAGTTGGCCACCGCCTTTAGTACGGAGTAGGAGATCAAGGGTTCAACCCTTGCCTCCCATCAAAAAGTGCCACTTAATGTGGTTTTGCTTAAGATGCATATGGGTGCACAGGTCCGACCCATATGATCCGATAGTGGTTTAGTTCTCGTCGGTTCCCCGTGACCCTGTTGGGTCACCCCCTAGATTAGGATTAGAACTAGGTGTAGATGTAGATGATGACAAGTGATTAAAAAAAAAAAAAGAATATATGTCCATCATAACTAATTTGGAAAAATGACCAATTTCTATGTCAACTTTTATATAGTGTCAATTTCGTCTCTGTATAATTTTTTTGGCCAATTTGATTCCTAAATTTATTAAATGGTTCCAATTGAGGAATGCTGTGGTGGTGCCACCATTTAAATTCGATTAAGCTACTAATTGAGCAACTAATGATGGGTATTTTGGATGCTTTAATGCTGGGGCGATAACAAAAGAAGTAAAATAAAAAAAAAATAACTAGCACATTAAATTTTTTAGAAAAACCCAAAACCTTGCAAAAACCCCGAGCTTTAGTGGATAGTGTGCTGAACAAAATCGAAGGAAATCATGATGAATAAAGAGTCGAATGGCATAGGAAGTCGAAGAATGGAGGTAGCAAGCGACGAAATGCATGAAAGAAGCAATTTTGACAAACAGGGTCAAGTAAATTGAGTTGAAACACTTAAATCTTCTTTCTTTCGTTATGTTATTAGTTTAATCATATTCAGTGGGGGTTTGTCTTGTTGCAAACAGAAAGTATTGTACTTCAATAGCAAGATCGAATCAAAAATTTTTTTCTGAAAAAGGGTTCTCTCCCTCTCTCTCTCTCTCGAAAAGGGGTTTATGCAGTTCGTGACCATAAATTAATTTGTGATGTTGCTTTCATGTTCTTCGAAAAGGCAAACAATGATATGCATAACCATGTGTTTGTATATTACAAATTATGGTTGTAATTTTTAAAATTTTTTTGAAAATAAAATAGGTGATGACTCAGATTTGTTCAATCTATATGTCTACTATGGTGGGGCATACATTAAAGAATTAGAACAAAAATATGTGGGGGGGTACCGTGGAGCCTTTTGAGAGGGTTTTGGCTCCAAAATTAACATAGCTTCTGTGAAAGCTTTTGGCAGTTTACTTGGGTGTCATGAAGATACCAACTATAGGTATATAATCCCTATTAGAGATGACAAATCAAAACTTAGACAAATTGATAGTAAAGAGGATTTCACGGACATGGCTATTATAGGTAAACAAGTTAGGAAAGTTGAACTTTACATTGTCCTTGACTTTCATATTAGATCTATGGATCCTAGCAGCAACAAGTCAACTTTTGAAAGTGAAGGTGAGAATGAAAATGAAAATTTGTTCTGTGTGGACATCATATTTGATGACTTCCTTGAAATGAAGAACTTCCAATTGATGTATCTAAAAAAGCAGATTGGGGAAAATCAAAAAAAAAGTAAAGGGAAAGCTCCTATTATGATTGAAAAAGATAAAGGTGCAAATGATGAAAACGAAGTAGAATTAGAGTCAATGGACGGTGATGAAAGCTTTCATGATAGTGACTATGATTTTAGGGAAGATGAGAATGACATAATATTCAAGAATTGTGCTACTACAGTTGACAAGGCAATTGATGGTCAGATTGGCATAAATGATGCTAGTTTTGGAGGGAAAACTACCATCCTAACTGGTGAAGAGAAGAAGGGACATGTGTAGGCACGTAGGCAAGAAAAAGTAAAAGAAGCTATTGCTGCTAACCATGACTTTAATATTTATGATGGTGACTAGATTCCAGTCGAAGAGGAATCTGATTCCATGAGCACAGAGGAGTTAAATAGTTGCTTTGGTTCCTTGAATGAAAATACCTCAAGAAAGAAGCCGAAATATTAAGGTTCAGACCAAAAATTGATATGAAGGAACCTAAATTTTTTGTTGGTTTATTGTTTGACACAAAGATGATGTTTAAAAGAGTAGTTGAATCTTATTCTATGAAGTGGGGCACGGAGCATGGTTGGGAGAAGAATGATAAGAACAGGGTCAGGGAAAATGCAAGAAAAAAAATGCAATTGGTTTGCTTATGTTGCAAAAGAACCAAATTGTGATGCATTTGTGTCAGAATGATGGGACCAGAACATTAATGTGGTAGAACTTTAACTTTCTATAATAAACATGCAAATTCAGGCTACTTGATTGGTTATTACATGGAGCTCTTGACGACGAATAGGAAGGCTACAATTAGTGCATTTAAGTACAAGGTACATGAAGAGCTAAATGTGAACACTACAAAAGATCAAGCATACAAGACCTTTGGGAAAGCCAAAATTCTGATCCATGGAAAGTATAAGCAACAATACACAAGAATTTGGGACTATTGTGAGGAATTGTTAAGTTTAAATCCAAGTTCCACAGTGCATGTAGAGACAGAGGTTGATGAGAATAATGGAAAGGAGAGATTTCAAAGGCTATACATTTGTTTTGTATCCTTGAAAAAAGGCTTTAAAGAAGGTTGTCGCCCTGTACTTCGTGTGGATGACTGCTGTGACGACTGGAAAATTCACTCATATTTTTTTAAAATTCCCTCTTATTTTGATTAAATTACTTTATAATATCTTTATTACTCATTTACTCCCTCAATAGCTGTAATGAATAAGAGAATTACGAGTTTTACCCTTAGTTTTATAGTTCGGGTAAATTAGGATTTTCACGTATTTTAGTAGTGTGATTAATTGTGGAGATGTGTGTACTAAATTTGGTGGTTAAGAGTGAGTTTTATATAAGAGAAAGTGTGTGTTTAGAGGTGCTAATAATAAGTTAGTGAATCATAGGTTAAAACACTAGTACGCGCGAGTTAGGGAAAAATCGCTAGAACCGACGTGCACTGTTTGCTACCGATTGAATACACCACTTGAACACTATTTTATTACTTTAATCTCCTTGTTATTAATTGAACAAAATCAGCCCTAAATATCTCCTTAAGACAGCCGAAAATTTGGACTAAAAGAAGAGAGAGAGAAGAAAATTTTGAGATTTAATCTTGTAGCGACACTTGGCGGAAACCCAACCAACTTTGACTAAACCAATTTCCTTCCTTCTTATCACCAAATTTGCTTCATTTCTCCTTCATTCTTCTTCATGTTGGCCGAGACTCAAGAGAGGGAAAAGAGAGAAGAAAACTTGCAACTCCAACCTTGATCCTTCCTTGTTGAGTTGAAATTACACAAACTAAACCGATTAAACTTATCTCTTGATGCTTGGAAAGTTTGGTGTGGTGAAATTTTTGAAAGAGAGTGGTTTGTTTTCACTTACAAGAAGGCTTTGGAAAAGTATAAGTTCATCCACCTCTTGTCTTTAACTTAATCTAGCTAAAAATGCTATAGAAGCTTGTAATCTTGGCATATGATAGTTGATTGTTTAGTTTTGATAGAGTAGTGGCATGTTTAGCTGGGTTTGCATCTTTTCAGTTTTGATTAGTGTTGTTTAACTACTAAATGATGTTATTAAGGTTGGAAATGGAACTTGTGAGGTGATTTTGGGCTTGAGTGTAACTTTGTTAGAGTAAAAGTTGAATTCCAGTATTTGGTAGTAATTCAGCCCTGTTTTTGGAACCAAACTGACCTGCATATTCGTCTATGATAAAGGCCAAATCAATTGTTACTCAAAACATGAAAGTTGTATGGATTTGAGTTAGCTTTCTACCTGCAAAATTTCAGCTCAATATGAGTACTGTAACTTGTGAAATAACTAAAATATCCCTGACTGCCCAAATGTCCTGTTTAACCGATAGCTTTCTATTTTCTCAGAGATGTCAATTTTTGACCCTAAAAATGCAAGAACTAGGTGTCAATGTCTTCATAAGAAATGTAGGTCTATGTCTTAACTTCGAAACGCCATAAAATTTACCTCGATCTGATAGACTTAGCTTCAGTTATGACCAAAACACCGAAGGATGACAAATCTGTCACTTAGACATTCTTCTTTAATACTAGTTTCCAACTTTGGTCTTGGTGGTTTCATTACTAGAATTGACTTGTATTTGGATGATATTGAATCTAGTTGAAGAGATATTGTGTTAAGACTGATTATGTGTTGATTTAGGCTGATTTGAGGAAAAAAGAACGTCATAAATGGCTGAAAAATAGCTAAATACAAAGGGTATGCTATCCAAATTTTCACTTGAGGGTTAGACGAGTGAACTTGAAACTTGAGCGACGATTCAAGATTGAAGCGAACTTCGATTGTTTATGGTATTTGAGTTTTCTTTAGTAAGAAGTACATAAGCTGAAATTTTGGCGAAACTCGTACCTTTTAAAAGTAAAAGTAGCGACCCTTAAAAAGATGATGTTCTCGAGTTTTTATATTGAGTGTGACTTCAAGAGTATAAATCACTTCTCTATCGAAACTAAAGAGCGAGCATGAGTTTTCTAAACTTTGATAAGCCATATGACCACTACTTAAACAAATTTCATTTATTTGATTTTTTTGAAATGAAACTCCTATGTTTCGAACTCTAGAGAGTTTTTCATTTTTACATGATATTTTATCGCAAATTTGGACACCAACCAAAGAGTTGAAACTGAATGTGATTTTGAAAAGTACTAGACCTTTCGTGAGTGCTTCCAAATACATGATTGAACTTGATAATTGATTTAAATTCTTTACCAACATGATCGGATAAGATTTGCTTGGTTTGGTCAGGCAAGTGTGTACTTTATCACACTTGATCTAACTCAACTAAACTCTTGATATCTCATTTATGCTTGTACAAGTAGCTTGATTTGCATTGACCTGTACTTATATTTGTACTTGTGCTTGACTTGTAAGTGCTGAGCGGCGGCATGTACCACACTCGATTCGAGTGGGAGGTGCCTCTCATTCCCGTCTCCATACTTTTTCTCTTGACTAAGTCGATTGGTCATCGACTATGTTGACTACTTGGAAACCCAAACCCCACTAACTAGTTAATCGAGTCGAGCCGGCAAGGGTTTGGTCAATTAGATAAATAACCATGGATCTCTTATTTTGTCGAATGGAGTGATACCTCATCGACTAATCGGTATACTTGAATATTACCACATGTGTTTATTTGAACGTTCGGGCCCAACCCCCTTGTATTGCTTCACGATAGCTTGATCAAGTAATAGTTAACACTCCGTCAATTTCCAAGTAAAGTAACCAGTCCAGTAATCGTTCAAATATTACTTTACTTGGAAGTTGACGGAGTGTTAATTATTACTTGATCAAGCTATCGTGAAGCAATGAAAATTTGGCTCTTGAGAACCATCTATATCCGTATACTTTGAAATGATTATTACTTGTAGTGTTATTGTTTCTTTTCAAAAACTTTTCACTCGCTCTTTTTGATATTTGCTACTTGAAATGTTATTACTCATTTTCTTGATTTGTTATGCTCGCTATTTTGCTACTTTGATACTTTGATACTTTCACTTTTAATTAAAGGTCAACTTGCTATTTGGAACCTCACTGAGTTTTAACTCACTTTTAATTAGATTTGTTTTTCTTACAGGGGGTATAAGCGAGGCGTGAGACTGGTACAAGCTAGCATAGTCTAGTTTTTGAAATTTTGCGATTGTACTCGCGCTAGTGCTCGATTAGGGCTGAATGTATCTGGAACTCATATCTTTTGATATATTTGTGATTGTATGGATGATTGAAATAGAAATGAATGTACATGTACGTTCCAAGTTTGGGAACTGTTATTTTTTTTACTCTCGAGATTGCAACCTATTTTCTTGAAATGAGTGAGTGAGTCCTGGCGAGAGTTGGGCAGGCGGTCCGCTAAACCCTGGGGTACGCCTTAGGGAGAGGTGGGATCGTCACAACTGCCATCTAAGAGGACCATATCCAGGAGTAGTCTTGATAGTTGTTGGGATAGAAGTTAATGACTGCATCTATCCTGTTGCATATACAGTAGTGGAGACCAAGAACAAGAGATCTTGGACATGGTTCATTGAGTTCTTAAAGTTTGATCTCAATATCTATGATAAAAAAAGATGAATATTTATATGATAGGCAAAAAGTAGTATGATTTCAATCAACTAAACCAACTTTAATTAGAAAATTCAAATGTTGGAAAACTAACTTCTTATGACTAATTTCTGAATTTTTCATATTTTATATGATAAGGTTTGGGTTCTGCCATCCAAGATATTCTTCCCAGATTGGAGCATAGATATTGTGTTAGACATCTACACAACAACTTCATAATGCTCCATCTTGGTGAAACACTAAAGAGTATGTTTTGGGTTTTGTACAAGGTCCTCTTATGTCAATAAGTTTGAAACCAAAATGGATGTGTTGAGTTAGTATGATAAGAATGCACACAAATGGCTAATGGACAATACATCACTATACCATTGCTCTATGTCACATTTTAGGACCAAAGCCAAATGTGATATTCTTCTTAATAACATGTGTGAGAGTTTTTAATTTTATGATATTAGAGGCAAGAGAAAAGTGCATCCTTGGTATGTTTGAATGCATTAGGATATACCTAATGAAAAGATTGAGGATAGAAAGAGAGTGGATGAGAAAAAAGAATGATGTTATCTGTCCAAAAATTAAAAAAAAAAAACTTGAAAAGGCAAAAGATGATGCTAGATCAAATATTGCCAGAAGGTCTGATGATGACAAGTTTGAGGTGACACATATGTATGGGAACACATTTGTTGTTGATTTAAAGGTAAGGACATGTACATGCAAAAAATAGGAGCTCACTAATTTATCTTGCTCACATGTTATAGGCTGCATTGCATTGATTGGAATTGAGTTAGAAATTCTAGTGCATCCATATTACTCTGAAGACGCACATTTAAAGGTTTATGAGCCAGTTATTGGTCCAATTAATGGACCTAATAACTAGAAAAGATCTAACAAGGTCCTTATGTATGCACCTTAGAAATTGAAACTTCCTTGTAGACCTAAAAACGCAAGAAGGAGATAATCGAATGAGCTAAGAACTAATTCCAAAGGGTGTATAAGACTATCTAGAAAGTGTATCACACAGATGACTTGCTCTGAATGTTACCAAGTTGATCAAGTGCCTGAAGAAATTGATGTGCAACCTGCTGCTCCAAATGAAAGCTCTCAGAGGCTGTGTAGGACCATGTGTTGTTTTTTTGTCATGTTTTGTGGTAGAACAAAAGAACATGTACTTGCTATCAAGCACAAGTTTGGAGAAATAGGATGGTTGTCATGAAAAAGAGAAAACAAATAGTAACCTTTTGTAACCCTGAAACTCTATACAAATTATTAATTGTTACTTACACTTGAAGGTTCTCAGTAGACATGAATTTGCAGGCTCATATGATATTCAATGAGCCTGATGTACAGTGAAAATGAATGGAGCTGAAGGAGTTGCTACTGAAGTTGTTTGTTTGGTGGTTGGAATTTATCTTTTGTCCTTATTGGTAGTTGTTGAAGTTGCTGCTGAAGTAGGTTGAAGTGGTTGCTGTTGAATTTGTCTTTTGTCCTTTTTGGTAGTAACAAATGGCTAGAATATGTGGCTAGGATTAGCTTCATTTGGCAACGATTTCAGGTATTTCTGATAATTTGCTAGAAATTGATTTCATGGGGTTCACATGTTTTTGTAATGAATCTTGGAAGTTATTGTTTTTGGCTGTTAGGAGTTGGATTCTAAGGCTTATTTGTTGTTTTAGAAACATTGTGTAGTTTCTAAATAGCTAATTCCATTTGAATGAAGTTATGTTAGTTGATAACTATATATCATATTATTCCATTTGACAATATTATTCATATGCAAGCAAACTTAATGTTATGCAATTCTGCCAATTCAGTTAACAATGACCAAACAATATACATGTATCACCAAAAACTCAATTAAGCTACTCTCTTTCATATCCAACATTGAATTTGTAAACATACAATTTGGAATTCAAAAATATTATAAATCCATAACAATCCATATCCAAAACATATCACTAACTTGATGAAAACTCAAAATTGCTTCATTTTAAGAGGACAACATTACATGGTCCAAAACATATGAACCATAAAATTTCATACAATGTCTAGAGCTAGCACAACATCTTCAATTCTAACAAGCCTTGCTTTTGTCTTTGGGTGCCTCCAACTACAACAAGAACTAAAATGTAGCAACAGATACAAGCCAAGAACAATATTTTCACTTTTGCCTTCAATTTGTTGATTTCAATATTTAGTGCTGCATTTCCCTCTCGGCATTTCTCAACTCCCTCAAAATTGCAGCCATCGTATTCTTTTTTTTTTTGGGGTATGGGTAGATCATACCACAAAAAAATTTACAAACATCACGTTTCTGCATTCACTACTATTTCATAGTCAAAATTCAAGCAATATTTCAACAAATCTTAACATTTAGCACATCGGCCTTCTCCCACCGCAAAGCCACCGACCGTTGCTCTAGATGGACTTCTCATGAATGACTACATTGCCCAGGCAAAGGCAAATTTTAAGCATGCAACAAATTTTGCCATAGCCGGCGCTATGACACTATCATCAGCTATTCTAGCTCGTCATCATGTTAGAAATCCAGTGACCAACAGTTCCCTTGATGTACAGCTTCAATGGATGAAAGATCACTTTCACAAATTTTGCCACAATAATTGTGAAAGGAAGCTTCAAAACGCTCTATTTATGGTCGGAGAAAATGGAGGCAACGATTATAATTATGCATTCCTTCAGTACTTTGATGAGGCTAGAGATACACTTAGAATTCAAGAGTTAGTACCTCTAGTTGTTGCCAAAATTAAGCATGCTGTTGAGAAAGTTATTAGTTTTGGAGCAAGGACAATAGTGGTTCCTGGGAACTTTCCAATGGGATGTCTGCCAATTTATCTTACAAAGTTTGGGCTAGAAAGCGAAGTAGACGAGTTCGACGAGAATCATTGCATATGGCTATTGAACAGCTTTGCAACTTTTCACAATGATCACCTGAAGAAGGCGATTCCGGAGTAACAATCGTCTATGGAGACTACTACACTGCATATGAACAGCTTCTCAAACTAGGTGAAACTGAAGATTTTGAGCTACAAAAAACTTGTTGTGGAGTTGGAGGGCTGTACAACTTCAATGAGACGCGAATGTGTGGATTTCCAGGTGTAAAGGCTTGCCGTGATCCCGAAAGATACGTCAGCTAGGATGGAATTCATTTAACACAGGAGGCTTACCGCATGATAGTGGATTGGTTGCAAGCTGATCTTTTCTGGAAATTGCGTTGCCATCATTGAACAATTCTATCAACTTTATCATGTTCTTCAAGCTCCTACAGTAGTAGTACTCGAGTCCCAGTATGCTTTTTCAGTCCAATAGCTTAGTTTAGTTTTAGCTAATAGGAAGCTCTTGTGTGACTAATTTCGTCACCAACTGTTTGAGCACTTACTTTTATATGAAACTTTTTCAGTTTTTATCAAAAAAAAAAATCTTAACATTTAGCACATACAAAAAATTACATCCATACAGTCGCAATTCGGCATTGTTCAAGGCAATGGCGTCCATGATTTTTTTTCCATTATAATATTCGTCATTTCCTTCATAAATCAAGCTTTCTAATTCTGATCCATTTGAGCCAACGCTGTTTAGGACTCGATCACTAGTTGAGCTTGAGAATGCTTTGTCCCAATTCCTCCTCGTATGCATTTCATTGCAGTGATTTTGTGCACAAGTTTGGGAAATTTGTGAATTTGTTTAGATCTCCTTTTTTTTGGATGAACCCTAGGTTTAGAATTGGGTCCGTCATCGATTTTACTTCTTTTGTTACCACCCCGGCATTGAAGTACCTAAAATACCCTTAGTTGTTCAATTAGCAGTTTGATAGAATTTACATGGTGGCGCCGCCACGGTGTTCCTCAATTGGAACCGGTAAATAAGTTTAGGGTCAAATTGACCAAAAAAATTATATAAGGATGAAATTGACACTATAAAAAATTTTAGGGACAAAATTGGCCATTTTTCCTAACTAATTTATAACCATTTTATTGAAACAAATGTTGTCGTATGAATCAAGTAATTATCTTGTCTTGTTGGTCGAGAATAAAAATTAAATATTAAATTATTAGAAATTTATTATATAAAATTTCTAAAATTATAACATTGAAGGTGGTGCTAATTTATTGGGTAGTACTAATTTGGGTTTAAAATTACAACATCATTATGAATAGTCTTAAAATATTTGACATTTTTTATTTATTTTGATGGCATTTATTTTTTTTCTCTTATTTGGTGGAGAGAATGTTTTTATCTCTTTTTATCATATAAGAGGCGATGAGAGACTTTTTTTCTTTTAATTGTGTTAGGAAAATATTTTTACCTTTTTGACACATTGCACTTGAAAGTTGATTGAAGTATAATTTTGAAAAACACTAGTGGATCAACAATTAACATGATAGTATCAAACAATTTTAATTAATTAAAATTTGTAATTGGTTTTTTAAACATCTCTAGTTGTATGAAAAGACATGTTTTTGTATTGAAAATTTTTTTATCAAATTGCTATGGGTATTTTTGTCATCTTAATAATAGAGGTGTAGGTGTGAATTTAGCCCTGCCCTTGCTGTTGTTTGCCAGAAGACATATGCAAGCTTACCTCAAACATTTCTTTCAAACATAAGTATGAAGAATATTTTCTTGTAACTAAAGAGAAGATGGAGTAAGGTCAAGATTAACGTCCTGTTTGATAATCCAGTTAATTATCTAAATTTAATGATTTAAATCTTAACATGTTTAAACGTGTTTGATAGCAAAAAATAGAACATCTAAATCAATTAATTGACATTGAATTTCCTGGCAAAACTTGTTCCAAAAAATAAATGATAAGTTGTTTACGTATTACTTAATGTGATATACACTCAAATGTATCAAATTTAGTAATTAACAATTCAATAACTTAATTAATTCAAATTTCAGTTTTCAAACTTTAGTTTTATTAAACGCACATGAAGCACCAATGCAGCTAGCTTGAGCCAGCTAGAATAATCACTCACCAAGTTTTCCAAGTAATCTGCTGAAGCTTTTCGAAGCTATCCCGCTAAAACAATAATCCAAGAATTTTCTACTTGTGTTTACAAAGTTAGAGAGAAATCAAATTAACAGAATTAATTAACTTCATCATATTTAAACAAATTTTCAATCACAATTAAGTACATTTTATAATAGCATCCCTTCTTGCCACCAACAATTTTGAGTCAAGAAAGACGTCACAATAAGAAATTTCGGACCATCTTTATAAATTTTAAAGCTACATTTACATACTAGAAAGTCTAGAATGGCATATAGTTCTGCCACCCGGGAATCAGCGAGAGTAAAATGCAGAATGGGAAAGTTTGAGAATGAAAAGCACAATTTTCTAGTACGTTATCTATTGACAAACTGGAAAACAAATGGAGGACTAGAAGGTAAATTTGGAGAGGCCATTTATCAGAGACCATATTTTGTTTACAGGCACATTATGGTATGATTTAAAGACTAACTAAATTCTTCTCCTCGAAGCTTTTCATGGTATCCTTTAGGCTCGTCTCCAAAGGGATGTAGTGAATCCCTAAACTTCTGACCTTTTCTTGAGATACTTTGTAGTCTGGAAAAGTAAGGCTGCTACAGTCGATGAATCTGTCGGATGACAAAACAATTTTTGAAATCAATAGTAAACAAAAGTGTGGATAAAAATGAAAGAATGATACGCTGCAAAAGTATGTAAAGATCATAAATCTTTCATGTTTGATGAAGGGTAATCTTTAAATCAGAAACCAGATTAATTGCCAATTTCAAGCTGGATGATGCATGGACTGTTCAGTAAATTCTTTTCTTTTCCATAATGTTGTTGAGGAGGTCACAGGTCTTCAAATGCAGTGCAGATACCAAAAATGGATCAAAGAGCCTAAATAACACATAATTAAGAAGGGAAAAATACACTCACTTTGCCGGGAATTCGAGAGTGGGGTAAAGTTCTTGAAGAACCTCGAGGAGCTGAGAACCGTTTGCAAATCTTTCAACGAGACAATATCTTCCATTAGCAGAAGGGATTTCAAAGGCGAGAATATGTGCACAGGCAACATCTCTAACATCAACCCATGGCAGAGTTGCATTGGGAAATGATTGAGCCCCTGTATTGCCATTAACTAGAATGATCATTCTTGCCAGGATATAAGTTTAGATATCAGTATGACTGCACGAAGCCTTGTTCACAGGAGTTCATTGAGCCATCCTTTCTTTGTTTGAATTTAAGAATACAAACATTTAGCGAGTGATAAAGCTCACACTAGATCAACATTTTCAGAGATAAAAATGATGATTAAGTGACCTAATAGTTTCCCGAAATTACCTGTTACTAGGTTCAGGATGAGTTCTACACTTTGGTTGATCGTTGGCTGCAAGAGAGGACCAATGACCAATGCTGGATTTATTGCAACCATGTCAATGCCATGCTCCTTTGCAAATTTCCACGCAGCATTCTCAGCCAAGGTCTTCGATAACATATACCACAACTGAAACACCAAAAATTTGGTAAGCTGCTAAAAAAGCATTGTTTTTCAATTACAGAAACCATACCTGCATCAGTGAATATATATATATATATATATATATATATCTGACCACCATGCTAATCCTCAGAATTAATTCAGTATTTCTGATAACCAGTGAGAAATTTCTATCAAGTCATGCAGATATCTTATCTTTTCTCCATACGTGGTCCAAATTAAAATACCATCAGACTTTGTGCATTTGAAAGCATGGTTCGAAGTCTCGGCCGAGTCGTCACCGACTCGGCCCTTACCGATACGATATCGTGACGAAACGATACCGAGATACTTGACTCGCCGAGAAATCGGCCGAGACGCCACCGCGACGGATTGACTCGGTCGAGTCACACCGAGTCACTCCGAGTTATCCCAAGCCAAGACAAGAAATCAACCGAGTTACACCGTGACGGATTGACTCGGCCATTTCTTTTGCTATTTTTTATTATTTTTGTTTAGCATACTTTTTTTATATTATTAACAATTTTTAGAATATTAAATACTTTAAAATTTGCGTCTCACCGAGACCGCGACCAATGTGTCGAGACCGATGTGGAACGTTCCGGGCCACGACCGTGACCGCGACCACGACTTTGAACCATGTTTGAAAGTGAAAATTATACTAGTATGTATATGACTTCAAAGATAGTTTGCAGGAAGAATATAGTAATGGTCACACGCCTCATTCTTTTCACAGTATGATGGATCTGAAAACCAGCTCTCGTCAACCACCACATCATCCTTTAAATCAGTATTGTTTATAACTGCTGCCATTGAGGATGTTAGAACCACTCTCTTGACTGATGGAACTCTTGCACAAGATCGTAGCACATTCAGTGTTCCCTTTACTGCAGGGTCCAGTAGTTCCACCTAAAAATTGAAGGCAGAACAAGAATTGAGTCATTATTCAGGAAATTAAACGGAAATCAATTTTCGGTTCATACCTATAAAGAGTTACGACACCAAAATTCTGTTTTTAGATACCACTGCAAATTCATTGAGTTAAGTAGGTACATCATGTGTGAAATTTTTATTGTAGCTTTTCGTTACTCCTGATAACTAAAGCATACTGTGTCAAGCTCAAACTAATTATGCTCGCAATTAAGTGAATCTCCACATATTCTGTTCTCTGCACTACCTATATCAGCTCCAGATCATGTTCTGATGTTGTTTGAAGTTAAAAGTTACATGTGAATGAACTACTATCATCTTAGATAATAGATAGTGAAGAAATAATTTGACTGCGGTGACTATACTAATGTTGCATTAAAAGCATATAATAAGAAGTCTAGAAATCAAATCTGGGAAATCTTTGAAGAATTTTATATTCCACGGGCTCTGTTTGCTGAATGCTAATACCATGTTTTTCAGAAAATTTTTGTTGCGAATCTAGTTATGTTTTTATCTCACATATACTTTTTTTTCACATGTATATATAAATTTAACGTAGCAAACAACAAAAAGCGCCATTCCTGAAAACAGTTTATTGAAAAACCATCCAAACTGGTGACATAGACGTACCTGTGGATCTCTGGCTGGAACTGAAAATTGACAAGGAGATGCAGTATGAAAAACACCTTCGCATCCATTAACTATTTCATCAAAGGATCCCTCTTCTAGCAAGTTTGCCTTAAACAAAAGAAGCCTCTTCTTGGCTCCATCAAGTGAAGTCAAATGCATTGTTTTTGTTGGGTCATCTGTGCATTTGTAGGTAGTACTCAGACTTGTTAGTGACATTTACGCTTGCTTTGGAAGTTCAGGATAGAATATGAAAGAAGAAAAATCTTACATTGAGAGAGAAAAGAGAACAAAAGCAAAGAAAGGAGATGACAACTCTTTACTATCCTCTATAGAGAATGTATAATCGTTGCCACTTAGAACACCTTAGTTCTTATGTTTATTTGAGAGCAAAAAAACAATTCAAGGACTCGTGATGAACTGTGCAGACTTTCTCTCCATTTATTCCCACCACTCAAGCAAAGAAATGGGAAATAATGAATAAAATTTCTTTAAGGATCTTAGAATTATCTCCGTATCCATCTAAAACTCTTAAACATGAGAAAGTTTTAATTAAAAAAAGTACTTCTAAGCACTTTCAAGGAATGGTAAAGTATAAGACTCCACATGTACAGCGTGCAGTATGGTTCAAGTTGGTAACAGGCATAACAAAACAATAATAATATCCGAGAGACCTATATGCAAACAGGATACAGGGACCATTCTTGATTGATGATTCTGCTCATGAATAAGAAGAAAAAATGCATGGAACAACAAATCCATGGAGAAAAAATGGACTTACTGAGGTCACGAACTGAAGCTTTAACAGTATAACCGCGCTTAAGCAGCAGCTTCACCAGCCATGAAGCTATGTATCCTGAAGCTCCGGTAACACACACCACCTTCCCTGCACCAATCATTCTTGCTCTTGTATTTTATGCGAACTAGTTTTGCTGTGTTTTTCCCTCCTAGTTTATCTTATGTGTGCCTGAAGTACAAACTGTTCTGCTACATATATATATATATAGGAGAAGAAAGTCAAGAATGAAGATTTGACTACAAACTGCATGATTACAATCCTCCATTTACCTTGTTCAAAATTATAATTCAAAATGATTTATAGTTGAATGTTGACCCCAAATTACGTGATTAGATCCTCTATTTTTCTTAAAATTATTGCGTAAAATTATTTTTAGAGACACGAGGTGTTGATAACTCGGTTGTTCATTGTGGAAATCTGGTCAACCCTAGTTATATGCAAAGAACAGAATGTACAAGTATGTTTACCGTTTGATTATGCAACAACAGATTATGCATAGTTCAAATTAGTATCATGCATAAATAAACATATTGTATAACTGATCTGATTTTTTTATGCAATTAGTTGTTTACTGTTGGTATAAATGTAAGTGGTACATCTAGGGAGTGATTTGGACTCTGCAATTAATCCAACCACAACAATAAGCTAAATTCCATGTTAGACCGTTAAACTATAGAAACACTTCCATGTTAATTTTTAAATTTTAATATTGGACTTTTTATCCCTAAAAATATGAAATTCATCCCGTTTTAGTTTTTAAACTTTAATTTTGGATAGTTTACCCCTAAAGTATGAAATACATCCTATGAATGTATCAAAACTAACAAAATAGTAAGCAAGTGATGCTCATGATTTAATGAATAAAGTGAGATAGATTCATACTAGCTAATTTAGGGGGTAAAGTGTCAAAAATTAATTTTGAGAACTAAAGTATGATGGGGATAAAATGTCTAAATTTGAAATTTGAAAACTAAAATTGGTGCATCTATAGTTTAAGGGTCCAAAATTGAATATACTCACAAACTATTAAAAAAAAACCCTACTTTCAGAACACATACATAGTGGACATATAGTAAAATGTTAAGTGATTCCTGTTGTGTTTAGAAGTAAAATGTTAAGTGATTCATGTTGTATTCAGAAGTAAGAAATTTTTGTGACCAAACAAGATTAATTTAAAACATACCTAATTCATTAATTTTAAATAGTTAATGAGTTTACCAACACCCTTTTGGTCCTTGAATATTCTCTTTTGACAGAATCAAAAGAATATTATTGTTTTCTTGAATAAGGATAATGTATATAAAAATGAGCAAGTTGATGGAAGTTACTATGTGGAGTAACCATACTCGTGTAGGTGAATTGAAGCTTTGAATTGAATGTCAAAATCTGACCCCATTCTTTGCATGGATGTTTAACTTATACATCAACTAATACAAACACAAACGACATGATTAAATTATTTCTTATAGAGCTCCATAGAGGAAAGTAGGTAGTAAAATATACAACCAAAACAATTTATGGTCAATTCTTGCCAGCTACCTTCATAGGGTTAGTTCAGATTGGTTTTTCAAAAGAATAAAGCAAGGGTCCGTGTGTGTATATGGTCTTAAGTACTTATCATTTGGTTTTTTCATTTGAATAAAAAATTTAAAAAAAAACAAATTAAAAATTAAGATAGTGAACTAGACGAAAGCTCGAGTCCAATCATAATTTTATGGCTAATTATACGAATAACTCAAATTGCTTGATTGATTGGCATAAAGTTAATAGTATACATATACAATGTTCTTGATGTATATAGATTGTTTCAGCCACCACATATTCAATTCAATTGCTATGGAAAAATATGCTAATTAAGCAAGCTAATTAACCAGGTGAAATCTTTGGATTATTTCCTTCTTCCCATTGTTAGTGTGTGCTTTATTTTATTGATGGTCCCAAAGTTGAGGTAGTTGCTATCTATGTCAAAATTAAAAACAAGGGTTTAGTCTTTAGTGTTTAAACTCTTGCATTTTTGCTTCTTCCAGCTTAGAAACAGTCAAATGAAATTGGTAGCTGAGTCTGCTCGTTACAGGCAAATGTATGTAGCCATGTGAGGATAATGCAGGTCTCCGTTTTCATAGAGTTTTTATAATCAAATATAGGACTTTCCGCACGAAGAACAACAATGAAAAACTTTGTTATACAACCAACATTTTTGTCCTTAAATACCCAACACTTAGCATCGGTCATACTCCTAGACGGTTGACGATGTTTACCAGGTCAATTTTCAATTTGTCATCGGACAAAAAAAATTGGGAAGTTCCATTGAGAGAAAGTTGCATAAACATGTTCTAAGAAAACCAATTTACTCGTATTTGTTTAGTCTGTATGGTTTAAGTTTGCCAATCTCAGTCCAATGCAATCTTACAGAATGAGATCCTCTTGATAACCCGGGGGTTGTAGCATCGATCACGGTTGGATATAGTAAGTGATGATCCCATCTCCAAAAGTTTGTGGTGGAAGATGAAAGGTTTATACAAGTTTACGCACAAATGCAAATGAATTTGGATGGTGGGATATTATGAAGGAAAATTTCAAACTTTCACTTGCATTTTGCACGGTTACTTATCTTATTCACCAACTAACAAAAACACTAATGATACACTATATATTATTTCTTAGAATTTTCCTAATAAGTTTCCAATCGTCACTCGTCAGCGTACCTAAATTTTACCTAACATATCATGTATATACACACGTCAACAATTACTATTCACCATTACATTTATATACTTGCTAATTAATTTTATCTTTCCAAAAATTTAACACTTGAACCACATCTTAACACGTGTCCAATAAACATCCGTTAGATAGACCGTATTTCTTATAGCGCTGCTTCCACATGACGGAAGGTAGCTAGTAGCATATAATACAACCAAAAAAGTTTATGGTCAATTCTTCTTAGCTTGACAAGGGTTAGTTCGTATTGGTTTCCTAACCCAAAAAACAAAAGAATGGTGGTTTGAATGTGTTTTATTATTCCTTTGGTGTTTGGCATTTGGTATTACCGGCTTCATTCTATATCAAATCGGTGTACAGCTTAGCGGTACCTGCCCTTTCCGCAATACATACCATTGCTACACAAAAAATATGCTATGCCAGCTGAATCGGGTGAAATCTTATGATTATTTCCTTCTTCCCATAGTGTTATTTGCTTCATTTCATTGATTGTCCCAAAGTAGTTGCTACCTGTACAGTGGCGGAGTTAGAAAATCTCCTTATAGCTTCAAACTATTATAAAATTTAACTTTTGACTTTTCAACTGTTAAATAAGCAGTTTTAACCCTCAAACTAATTAAAACAAATACACAAAGCGCTTCTATCAATCTAAGTCGTTATATCTAATAAAAACAACACTGAAAGTGTCAAGAACTACATTTACTGTTTTGTTGAATATAATGATTCAAGTTAACATAAGAATTATAGGGGGAGGGAGTGTAAGCAAAAGGTCTCGAGTTCGACTCCTCCCGTTTATACTAAAGAAAAAATAAGTTATAAGTATATGTTTTAATTAGTTAAGAGGGTTAAAAGTGCTCATTTAATAATTGAAGAGCTAAAAGTTTAACTTTGTAATAGTTTGAGGATTCTTGGGACACTCTGCCCAAAAGAAAATTAAAAAGAACCCACTATTGCCCTACAAACACATCGAAGTACTGAATTTGTTTTTACTTATTAGCAGTTTATGACCCTTGACTTTTACTTCTAGTCTTAACACTTGTCAGCAAAATTACTTATAGGTACATGTATACAATGACTTACTACAAATTAGCACGTGATTTAGATTCAAGTGACATAACTTTTATATATATACATAAAAGGAAGGAGTTGAATTTAAGAAGCAGGGAGGAGGAAATAAATTTGAATCCGAAATCTCTTAAGTTCGGAAATCTCAACCTAATATAGATCCTCTTGATAAGGAAGTAGCAAAAACATCTATAGCCTATAGTAATATCCTCATTTATCAAATTCGACGCAAAGCTGGCAGATCTAACTTTTGCTTGCTGCATGTAAAATAATTGGAAACTTTTGTGAAGTGCCAAATTGGCTCATTTAAAAAAAGAGAAGAAAAAATTTCTCATATTGGAATTAGGGACCAAGAGTCCAAAGAATCTCTGGACTCGATTCACGTATCAAATGATTTTTTTTTTTTTTTTTATCTTTTTGTCCTTTAGGTGTCCATCAGACCTTCTGTTCTCGAAGATTGAGGAAATGTATGAAATGAAATAAAAACAAAAAACTTTGATTCTTAGAAAGTGAGGTATGGGATAACAAAAAATAAAAGAAGAATACCCAAAAACAATAAATTAAATGAAAGAAGAATAAAGGACAAAGCATGCCCGAAAAGAAAACGCCTCTTTATAGAAATTTTGTCCCGGAAAGGGAAAGGGTCCTGTTTCTGGCTTTGATCGAGTCTTTGCCAATTAGTACTTTCGAATGTTCGGATTGGCCATTTGATTGCGTCTTGGCTAAACCTGTTCGGGAGCTCTGGCTTAAGTTTAATAACAAATGCCCGACCCAAAAAACGCAGAAATTCAATGCTTCAAAATAATACTCCCTCCATTCATCCAGTAAAGATGGGTTCACTTTCTTTGTTTTTGTTATGAATTATAGGTGTGTGTATTTCTTTTTTAAAGTAATAGTTAGTATATGGACTTACTAGTATACTTATAATTAATGTGCATTGCACCAGAGACCAAGATTTCTGAAAAATTAGTGAGCTGGCAGTTACCGACTCTTTCTTTTAGAGAGTCCAAGCTTCAATTTGTTATAGGTCGCAATATCAGGTATCAATCCGCTATCAAGCGTCTCCTCCACCAATGCTTCCCCCTCCTCCTCCTTAGCCTCTTTACTAAAACCAGATATAAGGATCCTGTAAGTCATACCATCAGGATCCAGACCCTTACCAGCAGCCAACAACCTCAACTTATTAGCTTCCACTGCTCTTCCAGCTGCACACATATCACCAAGTAGACAATTAAAAGTCACACTATCCGGTACAATACCTTCTTTTAGCATCTTTTCTACAAATTTACAAGCCTCGCCAATTTGTCGGGTACACCGTAAACCTTCAATCAAGATTATGCAAGCAATCACGCTAGGAGCATTTCCCTTTCCCCACAACTCATCCACCAGCTCCACGGCTCTCCCAACATTTCTTTCCACGCAAAGCCTCTCAGTTAGCTCAAAATAATCAAAATCACTCGGGAAAACCCCTTTTCTTGAAAAACTAATCAACAAATCACAAGCTTCCATAACCCGCCCACCTCTACAAAGTTCATCAACCAATATCTCGCAGGTGACACTAGAAAGCTCACAGCCTAACTCTATCATCTCATGAGCCAAGGCTATTCCCTCATCGACTTTTCCCTCCCTAAAGAACCCCTTAATCAAAGTGTTGAAACTAACCACATTTGGGACACACCCTTTATTCTTCATCTCCTTGAACATTTCCAAAGCCAATCCAAACTGTAAATTCCTGCAATACCCGCTTATCAAAGTATTAAACGTAATCACATCCGGCTTAACATGGTCCCTAATCATCCGTCCATAAAATTCTAAAGCCTTATCATACTGCCTAAATTTAACAAACCCATGAATTATGATGTTGTATATAGCAACATTAGGCTTCCCATCAATCAATCTTTTCATGGAATCAAAAGCAAACAAAGCGTCATCAAATCTGCCAGCTCTACAATAAGCATTGATGGCGAAACGAAAGATGGGCTCAGTTTTGGGACAAGAGAATATACCATCGGAGCAAGGGCAGGGGTTGGAAGCGATGAATTGGACAAGGAGATTGAGGGAGTCAAAACGATGGGAGGTGGCGAGTGAGCGTACAATCCATTCGAAGGTGAAGTGGTCGTGGCAGAAAGTGTCGAGAGAGGCAGCGTAGCGAAAGAGGTGGAAGTCCAGGTGGGTGACGCCAGGGTGGTGGTGGATGCGTGACTTGAGAAAAGATACCAGGTCCTGGGGTGTGAAGGAGGGTTTAAGATGTGATTTGACGATGTGGGTCAGGTGGTTGAGCTGGGTTTGGGTCGTCGGGATTAACGTGGAGGAGGAGTCCGGGATTGGGAGTGGCGGTGGTGCAAGAGGAGGTGCGGAGTTGTCGGTGGGGGATACTGTTAGGCGGGGTTTGGGCAGCATCTTCGACACCAATTTTCTCATTTTCCTTTTTACCCGTGGCCTGGGTTCAAAATGCTTCTTGCTGTTGGGAGTCCAGTATATTTACCAGTTGCCTAAGCAGCCCGCGCTTCTCTTAGCTGGTTCTTATTACGGCCCAGGCTTCAACTCGACTCCACTTCGTAAGGAAAATCTAAAAATTAAAAATTAAAAATATTTAGTTTATTTTGAACAAAAAAGAAATTTACTTATACTTAGTTAATCGCAAAGTTTTCTGAGCCGGAAATCACATGTATTTCGTTGAGCAATGTCTAGTACCAATTGATCAATATATTTACCTATTCCAAATTCTCAATCTACTAGTAAAGCAACTTATAGTTAATAGATTTTGCAAATATCAAATTGGTAATTATTTGACAACTCTTAAACTTTGTGAATTCATATAAAAGCTCAAGCTTAGTTTTATGTGATGTAAGCAATTCATAAATGGTACAAACGATCCCAGGCCTAAAATGTAAAACATTGGATATTTTCAAATAAAGTCGACGACTATATGTTTTAAATTTATGATACTAATTTCGGTTGGTAAATTATTATTGTTTATTGTCATCGAAAACTATTGAAATAATCCATATAAAAGTATCAAGAAAAGTACTTGATCTATAAAGTTCAAAAAGTTAATGTCATCGTTTTCATCTAAATATGTGTTGCTTACTCACATGATATGACCATGATAAGATGGCAAATTTTAACTTGCACTACTTCATGAAGTTTATGTTATCTATACTATACCAACTCACATACTACATTTTTTTTTCATTGTTCACCTTTTTATCATGGTATTAAAAGGCTAATGATTATGCTTATTTTTATCTAAGTAACAAGTTTTATGGGACTTTGAAAACCATAATATAATCACGAGGAATTGAAGTACTGCAAATAATATTAAAAAAAATAATTATACTGTGTTAAGTAATAGCTTAATATTGCTACTACAAAAGTTAGAAAGCTTTCTAGGAATCCTACAATTCTTACGATATATATGCGTGTACGTGTGTGTGTGGACAGTTAAATTGTAGAATTTCATTTTCAAAGCAATAGGAAAGAGTACTAATTTATTTGAACAAGCAAATATAAAAGAAATTTAAATTTATAGGTTGTATTTTCAGGAAAAGACATTACATTTGTTGAATGGATTAGAAAATGTAAGGTTTCTTTACAAACCGTTTGAGCTAGAATTAATTATCGTTCCTATATAGTTCCAACTATCTATGATATATATCAGACATAAAATTTTAATTATTATTCCTATACAGTTCCAACTATCTATGATATATATACCAGATATAAAATTTTGGATACTTTTAAAAATGGAATCATAATAAATTTTGACTTTTTTTTCCCTCTAAAAATACAAAGGGATAGAAAAATGAAAACATCTAGATGCAATTACAAATATAAGTAAGAAGAAATATTTCTTTTGTTGGAGTAATATAGCTTGATTCAATATGAAGAGAAATAATGGAAAACTATTATTTTGCTAACCGCATTTTTTCATATATACTTTTGTCTCGTGAGCACACATTTAAATTATTTTTTGAAGAGGAGGAATATAAACTTGTAAAAGCCCTTCCTTTAGAGACATCTCAAATAAGCACATATAATGTACGTGGAGACAATATTTTATGTGAAAAATAATTATTAAGTTGAATCTTAAATACATATCTAACACAAACCCAGGACAAGCTGATAAAAATCAGAGAGAAAAAACCAACAATCAGATAAAAATCAAAGAGAAAAACCAACAAAGAAGAAACCCCCCCCCCCTCCTTCTTCTCTGTACATTTACATAAATACCCTTATAACTATAACACATAAGGGTAATTTAGGAAGTAAATAAAGACCGGAGACAAGAAGGTCCTTCTTCCGTCTCACGGCACCGTTTTGAACGGTAAAATAAGAGGAAAGTAAATACCATAAGTGGGACAGGACGAGTTATAAAAGTAAAACACTTAATGGGGCGGGAAATTAGAAAGAGATAAGAGAGGAAAAAATAACATCACACTTATAAATTTCATTTCATTTGTCAATCTACTAAGAGTAGATTTTACATATACACTTGTTGAAGAGAAAATAAGCTGGGTTTATTTGGATTGGCTGGCTACCAGGAGGAAAATTGCAGATAGTCAAACAACTTCCTCAATCTAAAGTAAGTTGTAAGCTAATATGATTGTTTAGATCTGTAAGTCTTTTATCACGTGAATTAATAGACTAATATCTCGGTTTTGTTGATTTTGAGCATCATGTTGTAGATTTTTTGAAGCTTAAGATATATTGGAGAATTACTAGATGATCTTTTGATTAAGAGTGTAGCTGAAAGTTATAACCAAATCCAGGTCTGGAAACATTAGAAATAATTGTCAAAAGTTTTTGTCTGTCATTACCATTAAATTGGCCTTTGTTAATGAATATGTTGATTGTTATCATAAAATCCAAAAATAGGGATAATCATGTGAGTTTTTTGAGTTTTTTTTTTTAATCGTGTAAGTGTTTTTCCTTTCCTTTTGTTTTACTAAGAGAATGCAACGATCCTAAAAGAAAAAAAACCTAGAACCATCTTCACGTTTCATCAAACGTTAATTCTTGGAAACAGATAATTATTATTTTCTAATTATCTTTTCATCACATAATAAAAAGCCCTACAGGATTGTTACAGTTTTTTTTTTTCAAATAATCTTCTCTTCTCTCTTATCTTTTCATTTATCACATAATAAAAAGTGCATCTTAATATTTTCAAATATTTTTTTCTTCAAAAAACTCCACCGTTTCATCACATGGTCATGAAATGATTATGCACCACATTAATACAAAACCAAAAGTATGGAATTCAAATAAATAAAAAGAAAATTTTGGGGGCTGAACAGTTAAAAGCTCAAATTTCCTACTTCTTTCCTCCCATTTTACGAACCCATGAATCCGTGCCTGCGTACGTACTCCATTTGGGTGTTTTTTCGATGCGGGTGTAGACACCAAATTTTTTTTTATTTTTAATATTTTTTAATATTTTTTTTATTTAATGAGTTAATACACCAGGAATGCCTAAAGGACCTTGTGAGTATATAATCTGCTTTTATCTGTAAGCTACGTTTTGTTTAATGCCTAGTCAGCCAATTTTTCAAGTAATAGGTTATTAATAGCTTCCAATTGAATGAATTGTATGGACGCATCTCAAATCATTTTTAGGTGTATTTTGATCCAAAGCTTTCTTTAATCTGCTGCTACTGGTTTCCCCATTTCTCCATCCACCCCCACTCATATTTGGTTAGCTAATTCCAAAAAGTTCAGTAATTTTCTTGTGCCGGTCAATTACAGAAGTCCAGAGCAAAGGCAAATACAAGTGTGAGTGCGTGATGCAGTTTCTTATGTTCACAAGACATATTGTTAATAGTATGGACGCAAGAATTAAGGGAATAATCCAACCTCGTCCTTTAGGCTTCTTCTAAGTGTTGCCATTTCAGAATATAGACTTGGAAAAGTTTTCACTGCCTTTTCCTATGGTCCGAACACAAGCTACAAAGGCCAATTGCATTTTTTATTTCTCTTACTTGTCACTATCCTTTCAAAAACAACCAATTTCCAGCTCATGTGGATCATTCAAAACTCAATCAAATTAATTCATTAGCATCAATCAAATCAGATTTAGACCTAATCAGGTAAGAACAAACTAAAAGAAAAGCAACCCACAAAAATTCATTCAAATCCAACTTCAAGAATCTACACTAGTAATTCTAGACAATTTTTCAAATGAAAAGGGAGGAAAAATCTGATACCTTCGAGAGAGAGAGAGGGGGGGAGGGAGATGATCTGTTACCTCCGAAAGTGGGTCTTTGCCGAAGTTGGAGATGCCGCCTGCGAAGAAGGGATTTGTTCGCCGGAGTTGAGGCTTTTATCGATGCCGGAGATGTTTGCCGGAGATACCGCCTGCGGAGGCTTTTATCGATGGTATAGCTGGAGGCTTTTATTCGCCGGAGTTGAGGAGATGTCACTAGATTCTGAGGAAGCGACTGGGCTGAACAAAAGCCCTTTTTCTTTTCTTGGGAAAGTTTCAACTGAATGTGGCTTCTCGTAGGATAGGGAATTGCATCCGATTCGATGAATACTTGCTGGAGCATGTGAAAAATGAGACAGCTTTTGAAAGGAAAATAACTTCATGATGAAAGATAAGGAAGTTATTTTCCTTCGGTGGGTGTAACTTATTTTCAGTCTGAAATTATTTTTCCAAATTAAATGACAACCAAACAATCGAAAATATGAAAAATGTTTTCCTGGAAAAGATTTTCACCTAAAACAAACAGACCCTAAAGTAGTCAAGTTTTCACTTTTGACACAAATACAATCACTAATTCATTATTGAGCTTGTGTTTTTTTTAAGAAAAAAATATTATTGTATTAAGCGTAATTAGGGATTTAATATAAATGTATTAGTAAATTTAATATAACCAATTAATAATTTGTATTAGTACACATATATAATTATTAGTATCATTAATAATATCAATTATATTATATATACTAATAGATATTATATAATACATATAACTAATAATATCATTATCATAAATTTGTAACTAATTAAATTATATATTATATATAATTATACATATATTTTTATATATTTATTTTTTTAAAGCGGGTGGCGGGGCAGGGGAGTGTCGCTCCGTTTCTAAGTGGGGGGAAAAATATTCCCTCTACCCCCGCCCCAACCCTCTTCTCATTAACTCCCACAAGGCGGGTGTCCGCAGTCACCCGCTCCTATTGCCATCCCTGCAGAGAATGGTTGCTCAGCCGGGCACACCCAGTTCCATAGTTTACACGGTGTGGCTTGGTGATGGCATAGTTTGTCTAAAATCAAGAGAGTCTCAAACCTGAAATGCTTTGTACCGATGAAGGGAACATATGTACTACTTGAGGGAAATGGGGCAGGAACGGTTGTCTCTTACTTGAGGGAGATGGGGCAGGGACGGCCATGATTTGGCCTCAAAATTTTGTGCGGCTCAAATCACGTTTTGTAACTCGATTTTCATGCCAAGTGTGGGGCCCACAAAAATTTATTCTAAAATTACGTCGTATGCAAAGAAAGTTACACAATATCCAATTGATATTACTTACAGTGCAAAATGCACACAACCTGCACAAACGGTTGCACCTGCAACCGTTTGTGCCCCTTGTCCACTACTTGAGTACCATAGCTGAAATTCTTGTACTGATGAAGGGAACATATGTATCAGGTGTAGTTCTTCCTCTAAAAGGATGTAAAAAAATTATTTGCGTTGTATTATAAGCATAATTTTGTAATTAATTTTTTATTTTATAACTAATTATTTATCTTTTATACATCAAATTACAAAAATTATTAGAATAATGTTATTCTAATTTTTTTTTCAAATAATTCTATCCAAACGAATGAAACCTTATGGATTTGTTAGGTAGGTTTGGTTGATAAATTAGGAAATTAATTGGAGGAATGTTTGAAAATCCATTGGATAAAATTCTGCTTGTTGTCCGAAAATTACGGCTGGAATTGCAGCCTTGATCTCTAAAAAAATGTTTTTTTTGGGAACTGTTGCAGGATCCCAAACGGTAAATTAGTTGTATGTTTGTCTTTTATGTTTGAGTTATGTGGTATATGCTGTGAACCGTATAACATATAGGTTTGTTTGGATGGTGGGTTATTTTCCCAAATATATTTGTTTACATCACGATTACAATTTTCAATACAGTTTTTTACCTTCTCAATTACCTTTTTATCTCACATACATCACATCACAAAAAGTGCTACAGTAAAAATATTTCAAATAATTTACAATCCAAACAAACCCAATGAATTACAATTTGTTCATAAAGCCTTACACTCATATTTAGAAGTAGTTATCAAGGGTTACAATCATTTCTGTCCCCATCCAAACTATGACTACCACTCTAAGGGACGGATGATCCAATTGTCGCTGCTTGATCCAACTGTCTATGTTACAAGTAGGTGGCCTACCCCAAAATAGATGGAACTCTATTTTTAAACACATTCTTTTTTTCGCTGAAAAATATATAATAAGAAATTACTATAGTATATTCCAAATTCTAGATAAAAATTACCAGGACCCAAATCAAATGAATATCTGCACATTTTATAAATCATCAGATCTACAAGTTAATTACTCCAAACTCAATTAACAAGTAAATAAATTTAAGAAATTTCATATTTGACAAACATATTTGAAGCACAAAGATCACTAGCTGTTATTAGTTTTGCCAGCCAAAAAAAAATCAGTCACCAAGCTTTCCAATTAATCTACCGAACTTTTTTCGAAGCTAGCAAGCTAAAATAATCATTCACGAAGTTTTCTTCTTGTGTTGACAAAGCAAGAAACAAATCAAATTAACAGAATTAATTCACTTCATCATGTAAAAACAATTTTCCTAACACAATCAAGTACAGTTTGTTATAGCCTCCCTTGTTGCCGCCAATAATTTTGAGTCAAGAAAGCTGTCACAAGAAGAGATTATAGACCATCTTTATAAATTTGAAAACTACATTTACATACCGGAATGGCATATAGTTTTGCCACTCGTATCTTTCACATATACAGTTACAATAAAATTTTTGAAAAACACCTTAAAAAACAGCTAATTCAGATGGAACCAAAATTATATTATAACCTTGATGATTTTATAATCTTAGATGGTTCAAATACTTCATCGAGCTAATACTTGATGCTAGGAGGATTCAGTTTCATTAGATATTTAGATCAAGAATTTGTTCCAAAGAGAATCCAATTTTAGATGTGGAACCAAAAGTATAGACCTTGAAGCTGGGTTGCCCACACTTAAAAAATTAAACTGGAATCTATGTAGCCACTTGTACCACGTTCTGTTCAGAAAAGAATCCTGATATGCCATGTGGAAAAAGGATTAGTATACGATAGCAAACTTTTGACCCTTGAAGAGATGCCGCTCCCATGCTGCTGCCCATGAAGCTCGATAGCTGTGGCCAACAAGATCAGCACGCAAGGATTCACCACAACCTTATATAAGCTTATTCTTTCAAAAATGGTGAAGATCTGATGGGCGGAATGAGAACTGGAACCTCGCAAGCGCCCATAAAATAACCCTCCATTCATCTATGGTCCCAGAACCCATAGACATATAGCGAACAAACGTAATACTCATTGTGAACTAGTTGGCGACACTCCATCTCAGTACCAAACCGTGCAAGTGACAAGGTTGCAACACAGTTTGGTATGGAAAACTGAACTCATGGCAACAGAATGAGCTACCAGTGTAGAAGGCATCCATTAATCCAGCAATCAAAACTGTGAATTACTCAAAAATGTCACCATGCATCTAGTACTCTGGAACAACTTATCCACTCTTTGCCATACTGCTGATTGGACTTCCAAAAGCTTCCTTGCTTTGTCCTGTAACTTTGACTGGCGCCGAATTGTTTCCCCATGAATCTGGCCGGCAAAGAACACGAGAAACATGTCATATGACCAAATAAATAGTAGCTAGTGAAACCTAAGCAACAGATGATTATGTGCTCATACTCATAAAATTCAAGATCTCAAAACAGAGAATTAGGAGATGCTTCTCCTTATAAGAACTTGCATGTCATTCTTATTTTCTAATTTTACAAGCTAAAAAAACTCCCTTGTGGAAGAAAAACAAATAGAGAACACTATAAAATTCATACCTTTAAAAACAATCTGATGACAGCCTGAATAAACTCGAAATTATTCCTGCATGAAATCTCGTGCTCAAAATAATCCAAAAGCAGTTCAATAAAGTATAGCTCAGGCCTTTTGTCCATTTCTTGATCATCGTCATCATCATCATCAATAACCTGAAGCATTCTCAGTTCCATATCCAGAGCTGAAGGAGACAAGCTTTTGATGTAATCAGTGAAAGCTGAAACTGCAATATAGATCAAAGCAGGTGTAAATGACAAAATTACAGAAACTAAACAGAACTCATGTTGCGCCTAAATTCATTATCCACTAGATTTAAAAATGCTTTAGGTCAGTATCTACACCACCCAAATGGTGTAATATGGAAGTGCACTTTACTTATATAGGATCCAACATAGATTAACGACCAGCCCCGTCAAATCAGTGCGGCAGCCGAAAGCGGCAGTTCGCATCTAAACAGTAAAAGACTGAAACCTTTTTTATGCGTTGAAAAGATGTTTGGATACCTACTAATTACCTTCTAGTTTTGTATCTCAATTTACCAGCCATTCACAGCACCAGTCCCCCCACGATTATCCAAGTTTTACTCAACATAAAGACTAGAAAACTGAGTTACCAATACATGTTATTTCAAAATCTAAGCTACCCCCAACCACACAGAAATCAACTTGGCCATACTATAACCTATGCTACCACTGCTCAACTAGTAGCCCAAACAAATAACAGAGAACCAATGGACTCACAATTTCCTACATCCACAGATGACTGAAGATATTGTAAGAACTGGGATGGTGGTAGATTAGACTTTTTTCCATTGCTTAATGCTTCACCAGCTTGAGTATCCTTCTCTTTATCAGAAGATTTGCCAGATTTAAATAATATCTCACCAGAAAGAGATGGAATAGAAGGTAGGAAAAAAGGTGCCTTTTCAGGTTTTTTGGGAGGCTCAATTGGTTTGTTTCTGGCCTTAATAATGTCCAGATTAATCAAGCTTTGCCACTGACTCTTGGGCAAAAGTGAAAGGGTAACAAGATCAGGGATTTGTTTATCTAATTTTGTGGAGTGAGAAGTATCTTGCAAAGGAGCATCTAAAATGGCCTTCTCAGAGTCGTTCTCTGGAGAGCCTTCTGCTGGAGCAACAGAAGGCAACTTAACACTCAAAACTTCATTCCCACTGCCATATGATTCAAAATTAGCAGATCCAGAAAACATTGCCTGATTGACCCACAGATAAACTCCATTTTGATCAACATGAGTTGTTGCTAGGACATCCATATTGGGTGACAATGACAATGCTGTTATAGACACATCAACCTGCAGGGCATCTATCTGTCTGGCCAAGATAACATCCCAGATCCTAAGAC